TCAGGATCAGCGATGTTAGTCTGGTAACGAACATATTTTGTTTAAAATTATCCTGTGAAAGTAATGAGTGCCGTGCCTCCCTCAGCAGTCCGCCACCGAAGAGAAAATCAAAATATTGAATCTCATGGGAGGCGTTACGGAATTTTGTCTGGGCCAATTTGGTTAATCAAGGACGTACCGGAGATGCCGGTGTAGCACACTTATCTCCCTGTTTTTGTCCAGCATTAAGCGCGCAATTGATGTAATTTTCCGCGTTGTAAGTTATAAGAGAATTAAGTTTTGTCATAATTTTGTTTGTGCCTGCGTCGACACTTTTTTTTATCCCCCAGTCGTATATTAGGAAAGGAAGGCAGACAGGATAGCAGAGAATGGTTTACTATAACTGTTTCTGCTTGTACATCAACTCTGTATTCTGTCTGTCCGGCAGCTGGTCCTGCTGTGCAGCTCCGTAGTATCTGCACCTCGGTCTTGTCTGCAGCTCGATACTGTCTGCACCTTGTCCTGCGTCTTATGGCCCCTTGTCATGCGTGACCTCAGAACCCAGCCGGCGACTGTCCTTGCGTCCTCGCGTGTTGGCCCTTTGAAAGTCACATTCTTGTCCCATTCTGCTTCCTTTGTTCTCTTGCCCTCAGGACGGTCCGAGTGATGACTCGCGTGCTGGGCCGCCCCAACAAGGTTTTATTAAAAAAAGTCGTACGTTTGCCAAAATTAATCCCAGTATAGCTTGATAATGCAACCATAAGAGATGCAAGCAAAGCCACTGGCATGAAGCAGGGCTAGGGAGACTGAGCTGATTAATTCCAGCTTTTTTATATCTTCAGCCAGCCAAATCTCAAACATAAGTAGGTAGCAGCAGCCATGTGTTCCAGTTGAAAACTGTTTGAAGTGACAACATGTGCCCTCGTCGAAGTTTTGCTGTTGAAGAAACGAATGTTTCTCATATCAGAAGTCAGAGAAGAGAGAATAAGTTGGAGCAGCTTTTAATGGGAGAAAATAAGCTCTACAAAGGCTCTGCCAAGCCGTAGCAACCAGTCTTGTTCGGGGGCAAGTTGTGTCAGTCCATGTCCACTCTTGGAATGACCCGACTCCGGGGCGTGCTCTCTGTCTCCTACACACAATCAGTGAAATTGCTTGCATGATTGGCTTCGAGCTTACGCGTGCTCCACGCAGCAAATCAACCGGGAACGTTATATAACAGGACAACGCAGGCCTCTAGCGTGCGAGAGTGCGAGTCCCACACCCTAACCATCGACCCACGGGCTCGTTATCTTGCCGGTTTCGATCGGGAGCTATTGACATTCGTTAATGAACGTTCGCTACTCGCTACTGGAACTCACTCGTCACTCTCTGCTTTGAAGCACATTCTCATCTATAAAGTTTTTTTACTTCGAGGCTTGGTGAGCAGAAACTATCGCACCATGCCCGTTCCTCATTTTCCGTACACCCTGACCATTTATAGTTGTACGGTCATCCGTGAGAATCGCAGCTGCAACGCAACCGTGGGCACAATTCAGGTCGGCAAATATGATTAACAACCTTCTAACCTCCTTCTTTATTTTGCTATTCAGGTTACTAATGATCTTCTGCCCTTCCTTATGCTGCTCTTTGTCATTCTGATCGGTTACGGAGTATCAGTCTCAGCTCTCTCCTACCCCAATGGATATTACGCGTACTATGAGCGGAACATGTTCAGTAAGTCCAGTGCCTGACTCTTCCTTGACCCTAACAGATATCAGCTCGATCTTTCAACGAATGTCGCCCGGAAAAATTATCTACGAGTTTATGATGACGTCTTACTTCCAAATGCTTGGTGACTTCGGACTCAACATCCTCGAAGGCGAAGGTGAGTATGCCTCGTGTCAGTCCTATATGAATTTTAAGTTTATGCCTCGACTTGACCTTGCGAGAAACCAATCGGCGTCCACTAAAAATCCAATTGGTCGGCTGACATCATACTAGTTAATGTGGGCCCCAACATCTTATAGGGGTTTCGAACCTTAGTCTAAACTATTTGATTCTGTAGGCGGCATTGTAATAAAACCAAAAGACGTATTATTCTAAATGCGTGGATAGGAAGATACATGAGTGGTAGTACAATCGTAATGTTTCCTTCGATAAAACAACGTAATTAAGTACTATTTTCTAGCACTCAAGGAAATCATTATGGTATGTAGGCAAAACGGAAGACTGCTTGCAGGCAAGGCGTGTAGTGCGTAAAAGAGACAACACATGTGATAAGTCTTAGGAGGCGCGGAGGGGTGCAGGGCATACAGAAGCGTCATAAGTTGAAGGATGAGCAATGAGCAC